CTGGACCCACGGGGGTGTTTAGATTGGGGCTGGATCCAGAGGGGGGCTGGACCCACGGGGGTGTTTAGATTGGGGGTGGATCCGAGGGGGGCTGGACCCACGGGGGTGTTTAGATTGGGGGTGGATCCGGAGGGGTCTGACTGGGGACTTGCACCCTGATGCGGGGGCTGGGGCTGGCGGGGTGTTTGGATCGGGGGGTGGCTCTGAGGGGGTGTTTGCGCTGCAGAGGTGGGGGGCGTTCGTTACCAGAAGGGCCGGCATCGTCCTGGGCCTGGGCCGCGCTCTCCTCTCCTCTCGTCGCCCGTCTCCTTCTCTCCTGCCCCCCTCTGCCCGTCGCCCTCTGTCCCGGCCTTACAAGGACGCTGCCGGGCGGGGGGCTGGCTCTCCGCCTGTCCCGCTGCCAGACTAAGGGCAGCCGCTGAGCTCAAATCGCAAGCTGATGCCAAGAGGCCTGGGCGTCTTTCCGGGCCATGGACTCCCCCCACGGCCTCCTCGGGGGGTGGCAGAGAGGGCAGGAAAGGTCCCAAGAGGAGGGAGAATAGAGGCCACTGAGGAACAGGAAACAGCCCCCCAACCCCCCCCCAACTGGGCATGGCCAGGCTGCACTGCGCTGTGGCTATTCGCTGCCCCCAAGGGCCCATGGGGGGCGGATCGGGGGCGCGGTCGGAGCGCCCTGCGCTGTGGCTATTCGCTGCCCCCCAGGGCCCATAGGGGGCGGATCGGGGGCGTGGTCGGAGCGCCCTGCGCTGTGGGTAGTCGCTGCCCCCCAGGGCCCATGGGGGGCGGATCGGGGGCGTGGTCAGAGTGCCCTGTGCTGTGGCTATTCACTGCCCCCCAGGGCCCATAGGGGGCGGATCGGGGGCGTGGTCGGAGCGCACTGCACTGTGGCTATTCTCTGTCCCCCAGGGCCCATGGGGGGCGGATCGGGGGCGTGGTCGTAGCGCCCTGAGCTGTGGCTATTCGCTGCCCCCCAGGGCCCATGGGGGGCGGATCGGGGGCGCGGTCGGAGCGCCCTGCGCTGTGGGTAGTCGCTGCCCCCCAGGGCCCATAGGGGGCGGATCGGGGGCGTGGTCGGAGCGCCCTGCGCTGTGGGTAGTCGCTGCCCCCCAGGGCCCATAGGGGGCGGATCGGGGGCGTAGTCGGAGCGCCCTGCGCTGTGGCTATTCGCTGCCCCCCAGGGCCCATGGGGGGCGGATCGGGGGCGTGGTCGGAGCGCCCTGTGCTGTGGCTATTCTCTGCCCCCCAGGGCCCATGGGGGGCGGATCGGGGGTGTGGTCGGAGCGCCCTGCGCTGTGGGTATTCGCTGCCCCCCAGGGCCCATAGGGGGCGGATCGGGGGCGAGGTCGGAGCGCCCTGCGCTGTGGCTATTCTCTGCCCCCTAGGGCTGCTCCTCCCTAGCCCTGGAAGGCACCTCCTCACCTGAGATGATCTCCCCCCATCCTCTCCCTTTACTGAGTGAGGAATATCCATCCTGGATCCACTTTGGGCCTCTCCCCAGACCCCTCACCCCCGGCACCCACCCACCGCACTTCCTGATGGTGGTGGCTGAGGGCCCCCAGGGTCCCCGCACGTCTGTGCTCGAGGGGCGTGTTTTGCTGCATGAAGAAGTGAAACCAGCTCGAGGGCTTTCCATTTTCGGCTCCCCGGCCGGCTCCACCCTTCGGCCAGGCCAGATTGGACTGAGCAGGGTAAGCTTTCCAAGCCCAGATCCCTCCAGATTCCCGACTCCCAGCCCCCTCCTCCTGGTGCTCCCCATTAACTCCCCCGGGGAGGTAACCGAGAGGTGCCGGATCCAACCCGGGGCTCCCACCCTGGGGTGCTGGCTGTGCGTGACAGCTGCCCAGCACAGAGACCCAGAGATGTTTGGCTGAATCCATCCCTGGACAGTGACTTCCACCAAGGACGGGGGCTGCCCCGGGGGGGGTTGGCAGGACGTGGCCTGTGCCGTCCGGGGACAACCGTGGCCGCCGTTGCTCCCCCATGTCAGTGGTTTGGCGCTTGCCTTGCAGGGACGATGGTGCGTGGGGCCGTGCTGGTGTTCCTGTGGCTGGCCGGAGCGGAGATGCTCCGGGAGGAGCAGGCGGAGCGAAACAGGTAGGTGCCACCCCCCGTGAGTGCCCCTTTGCAGTGGTGCCCGCTGGCTCCAGCACTGGGGGGGCAGAGCGGGGTCCAGGGCTCCCGTTCCTATTCTTAGGGACCAGCTGAGATCTCACTGGACCTATAGGCGCACTGAGCCCCATCCCCAGCGGGCTTCATACGCGGATTCTGGGGGGACTGACCCCTAGATTACAGCCCCGAGGCCCCACCTGCCCTGCAAGCAAGTTGCAGAGCGTCCCCTAGCGAGGGACAATCCCCACTCCTCCAGGGGGCAGGGAGAAGGGTTTGCATTGGTGACCATGTGGAGTGCCAGAAACACAGAGGTAGGAGCTGGGGAAAGCCCCTTGGGAACCTCTCTCCCCACCAGCGTAGGAGGTGGGCTGGGGACATGGCCGGAGCGCCCTGTGGTTCTTCTCTGCCCCCCCCCCCCGAGGACAGGTGGGGGCGCGGCCAGAGGGCCCTGTGCTGTTTCTATTCTCCACTTCTAGGGGACAGCGTGTGAGTTAGGGCAGCCCTGGCAGGGCCAAGAATGGAGGCGGGGGGAGGACAAAGGGGGCATAAAGCCTCCTCCCATCCTGTCCCTGCCCTGGGTGCAGAAAGGGGGTGACTCCGAATCAGGCTCCAGATTTTCCACTTCCTGTCTGTCTGAGCTCTGTGCAGCCCCCCATCGCCGCAGCATCTTGGCGCCTCACAGTCTTTGGTGCTTTTATCCCCCCCCGTGAAGCTTGGCAGGGCTGGGCTATCATCCCCATTGTACAGATGGGGAAACTGAGGCACAGACTAAGTGACTCGGCCAAGGAATCTGTAGGGAGATGGGATTTGAACCCAGAGTCCCCAAGCCATACCTCTAGGCCACTCTTCCTTTCCACTGCCCCATCTCCTTCCCCCCACGCCCCTGCCCCTGCGTGGTCTCTGCAAAGCTCTGCTTTGCCTCGCTAGGTTTTGCAGCTGGAAGTGCATGAAGTTTGTCCAGATGTGGCCGGGATCGTTCTGCGTGGTGAGCGCCTGCCGCCCCCCTCCCCAAACCTTCCCCCCTATATCTGATCCCTGCCCCACAACACCTCCGCTCCCCCAGCCCCCATACCTGTCTGCGGCTGCCACCTACAGGTACCAAGCGGAACAGCCACATGGACTGGCTGAAAAGCCTGGCATTAGGGAACTAAACCAGGGTGGCTGCTTGCCAGAGCTGGGCCCGTGGTCTGCCCTAGGGCAGGGAGCGTGGGGCCGGCTGGGCCCGTGGTCTGCCCTAGGGCAGGGGGCGCGGGGCCGGCTGGGCCCGTGGTCTGCCCTAGGGCAGGGAGCGTGGGGCCAGCTGGGCCCGTGGTCTGCCCTAGGGCAGGGGGCGTGGGGCCGGCTGGGCCCGTGGTCTGCCCTAAGGCAGGGGAGAATACCAGGTTAGACTGGTCTGGAGCTGGCGGGGCTGGGGGTGGGGGATCCCAGGTTAGATGGGCCCATTGCGCTGATCCCCGGCTTGCTTTATGGAGTGTCCGATCCCTGGGTAGGAGCAGGGTGACAATCTAGCCCCACCACCCCCTGTTAGACACTCGCTGCCTGACAGGATATTGTCTTTTCAGTCGGACGGGTCTAAACAACCCATGTGGGTAGCCGGGCCACCATCTGAGCGGACTCTCCGTGGTGCGTTGGGGCAGGGTAGCCTGAGCTGGATCGTGTGCTCTCATGCCCCCCCGGCCCGGATCTGGGGAGGGGTCCCCAGGTGGCATTTTTTGGTTTATAGCAGCATCAGGTAAACCTCACACCCCGCTGCCCCCGGCTGGGTAGGTGGTGGTATCACGGTGCTACCGATGGGGAAAATAAGGCACAGGGAGGGGATGTGATTGTCCCAAGGGCAGGCAGAGAGAGCCACGAATGGAACCCAGTCCCCCCTGCTCTAACCATTAGACCCCACTCCCCGAGCTGGGGATAGAACCCAGGAGTCCTGATTCCAGTGGGAATAGCTCAGTGGGGGGTGGTGGGCTAAACTGGGATGTGACCATTTCCATTTCCCGGTTCCTTTGCCTGGAGGCTCTAGGGCCGAGGTTCGACTGCGTCGTCCCCGAGTCTGCCGACAGCTGGACCATCCACGGGCTCTGGTGAGAGAGGCCCCTTGAGGTGGGTGGGAGGCGTGGGGTCAACATGGTCTTTCCCCTGACTCTGTGCCCCTTGATCCCAGGCCCAGCAACGTCATGAACTGCTGCAGCTGCTGGCATCTCTTCCCCTCTGACCTGATGGTAAGTGATGCCCCGCCGACCCCCCACATCCAGTACGTCCTGAGCCCACCACAGCAGGGCTGGGAGCCAGGACTCCTGGGTTCCATCCCCGGCCCCTGGGAGGGGAGTGGTGTCTAGTGGTTAGAGTGGGGTGGGCATTGGGACTCCTGGGTTCTCTTCCTGGCTCTTCCACAGACACCCTATCTGACCTTGGGCAGGCCAAGTCTCCCTCCCTGGTGCCTCAGTTTCCCCATGTGCGAGAGAGGTACCAGTGTGAACAGATGCAAAGTGGTGGAGAATCTAGGCCCGTCTCCTGGAGTCTCCTAGGTAGCTGTGGGCAAGCAGCCAACCGCTCCTGAATCATGGACGGGCAGAGCCGGGCTGAGGGTTAGAGCTGAGGAATGGAAAGAATAAATCCCCCCTTATGTGACCTCACCCCAGGAGTACGTGGCTGGGAGACTGGCGGGGGGGAGGAAGGGGTGATTCCCCGGCTTGGGGGGCACTGGTGGATTGTGGCCTCATCCCAGAGAGGATGGAGCTGGAGCACGGCCTGCTGGGAGCTGATGTCTCCTCTGAACAGGGGAGGGTGACCCTGGGCCAAATTGTGGGACCCCTGCCCCCCCCCCGGGCCCAGCCTTGCCCGCTTTTCTCTCCTACACCAGGATCTGCCCAAGCAGCTGGCCGAGCACTGGCCCACCTTCCTCAATGCCAGCAGCTTCAACTTCTGGTGAGTGGGGTGGCCGGGGAGTGTTGGGGGGGGGGGGCTCTCAGGCCCATCAGGGAGAGGAGGGGCTGGGTTGGTGGGGGGGGGCCCTGGGGGCATGTGTGGGGAGGTTAGAGCTGAGACTCGGGGGGGGGGAAATGGGGCAAGCTGCAGGGAGAAAGCGTGTGGGGGGGCCGCTGCAGGGGTGGGAGCTGGGGGGGTGGTGGGAAGCTGCAGGGGAGGGGAGAGAGCTGGGGGGAGGGTAGTGGGGAGGCCACAGAAAGGATGCTGAAGAGGCCATAGGCACGGGGAGGCTGCCGTACCGGGTCGGGTGTCATGGCCGGCAGATCCCCCTGCCCCCCCAGCCTGGATTCCCAGCCTGGGGCCTGGGGGAGGGGGGCATGTGACTGACTCATGGGCATTTAATTTCCCCCCTCCGCCCCCCCTGCAGGAAGGAAGAGTGGCAGAAGCACGGGACCTGCGCTGGGTGCATGGAGGCCTTGAGCTCCCCCAGCAAGTACTTCGGGGCGGCCCTCGGCCTGCGCACCATGTACAACATTGACGGGTGAGCCGGGCGCAGGGCGAGCCGGGTGCAGGGTGGGAGAGCAAGGGAGACTAGCCCACCGCGGGGCGGGGGGACAGGACACTTCCAACCCCCACCCCACCCCATGGTGCCAGCAAAGCTCCCACTGGGGCAGGGGCTCGGAGAGGGGGCTCGGACTCTCCCTGGCTTTGGGTTATGGGTCGAGCGATTGGGATGCCTCATGGGGGAGATGGGGATCTGTCACGAGCTGATCTCTCATGAAGGGCTCTATAGGGTGGGGATCTATCATTAGGGGATCTTCATCTGTGGGAGATCTGTATTGAGGGGATCTCTCAGTGTTGGGGGAATCTCTCGGTGCTGGGGATGTATAGTAGGGGGATCTCTCAGTGTTGGGGGAATCTATAGTGGAGATCTCAATGTTGGGGGAATCTCTCAGTGTTGGGGGGAATCGCTCAGTGTTGGGGGGATCTATCATCGGGGATCTCTCAGTGTTGGGCGGAATCTATTGTAGGGGATTTCTCAGTGTTGGAGAATTATAGTGAGGGGAGCTCAGTGTTGGGGATCTATAGAGGGGGATCTCTCAGTGCTGGGGGATCTCTCAGTATTGGGGGACCTATAGTAGGAGATCTCTCAATGTGGGCGGGATCTCTGTATTGGGGCTCTCTCAGTGTTGGGGGATTATGGTGAGGGGAGCCCAGTGTTGGGGGGAATCTCTAGTGAGGGGAGCTCAGGGTTGAGGAGCTATAGGGGATCTCTCTTTTAGGGGGCTGTACAGTCTGGGATTGGGACAGTCTGTAACAGAGGTCCAACTCTCTCTTGGGGATTGATGTACAGTACTGGGGGGGGGTTGCTCTCTCTCTCTCTTGGGGGATCTATAGTGGGGCGATCTATAGCTTAGCACTCTGTCTCAGGGGGATGTTTATGGGGTGAATAGGGTCTCTGTCGGGGGGTGGGTCTGTCTATGGGGAAGGTGGGGCTAACTCTCTCCGGGCAGTGCGCTATGGGAGGGTGGCGTTCTGGTGGCACTGCAGTGCTGGCGTCGTGGGATGATTTTTACCTCCCCCTGCCCCTCCGTCTGACCCCAATTCATCTCCCTTTTGCACAGAGCGTTCCAGAGAGCTGGGATCCTCCCGTCCTGCAATCACAGCTACCAGGTATGCCCGAGGGCTGCTGCCCCACAGTCTCCCTAGGGCCCCGTCCCCGGTGTGAGGGGGCTCGGCTCATCCCGCCCCTTGGGATCCCTGGCCTTTTCCGGCTGGGTTTGCCCTTGGCAGATGATGGTTTGTGGAGGGGGGACTCCCACCCCCGTCACCACCCCAGTGTCCTGCTCGCTGACCCTTCCCATCCTGCCTCCACAGCTCCACACCCTCCAGGAGGCTTTGGTGCCCGTCCTGGGGAAGGAGCATGTGCTGCAGTGTGTGACCGACGGCCAGGTGGGTGCCTTTCTTGCACTCCCCAGGGTCCTGCGGGCAACAGCTGTGGGGTAGGGTAGGAGCCACCAGGGATTCTGGGTAATAAACAATGGGGTGCTGGGTGTGAGCAGAGGCTATGGGGCATTCTGGAAAACAGAGGCTGAGGTGCTGGGGTTGGGCAGAGCCCCAGGGGATTCTGGGTAACAGAGAATGGGACATGGGGGTTGGGCAGGCGCACTGGGGGATTGTGGGTGCTGGGGACAAGCAAGGGCTTGGGGTCACAGATAATGGGGCTGTGGAGCTGGGTAGGGCTGTGTGTTTTTGCTGAGGCTCCTGAAGCTATGAGAGGACCTGTCCTTCCTGCAGCAGGGAGTTCCGCAGGTCAATGCATGGCAAAGCTTTTATTTCTGCTCCTTGGTTCTATTCCTCATGCCCTTCTTCCCTCCCACTGTGCTGCAGGCCCGCCAGGTCCTGGTGCAGCTCAAGGTCTCGCTCTTCAGCAACTTCTCTGCCGGGTGCCTGGAGAAGGGAGCCCGGGATTTCTCCCCCTACCGGCCCTGCGAAAACCAGAGACGCATCTTCTACTTCCCTCCGAACCAGAAGACCCCACGGGACCCCTGCCCCTGACTGGGGTTGGGGGTAGGAGTGGGGCAGGAGAGTCTCATGGCTCAGCAGCAGAGAGCCCCAGGGAAGGTTGGAAATCAGGGGCCCCTTCACCAGAATAAAGTGCTCGGGAAGGATCGACTGAGTCTTGTGCATGCGATTATTTTGTGACCACGGCCACTGGCTACACGGGACCCTGGTGTCCGGGACCCAACGTGGTTAAAGGGGAAACAAATTCCCACGGTGGAGGGGGTAAAGGGGGAGTGCCCCCTAGAAGGCATCTGCCTCGCTCTCCTGTACCTGGCCCAGACAAGTGGGGCAGCTGTGGGGACAGCAGGAACGCCTGGCCCTCAAGGCTGAGCTCATCAACCCAGTGCCTTTGCTCTAACCACTAGACTCCACTCCCCTCCCCGAGCCAGGGATAGAAGCCGAGTCCCCACTACCAGCCTGCCCACCGCGGCTCTGACCACTAGACCACACTCCTCCTGCAGAGTCGGGACTAGAACCCAGGAGTCTTGGCTCCCAGCCCCCCTGCTCTAACCGCCAGACCCCACTCCCCTCCCAGAGCCAGGAATGGAACCCAGGAGTCCTGTCTTGTGCGGGGGATGGGGGAGGAGGCTCTGGGTACTCCCTAAAGCGACTGTTCCCCCACCCCCCGCGGTATTGCCAGCACTTTCTCTCTTGTGTTGTGGAGACTCAGAGCAGCTGGCAGAAGCCTATTTCCTGAGCCATCTGGCCACAGGTAAGAGCCAGGCTGGGCCCGGGCAGCCCAGGCTGGTCCGAGTCCTGGGGGGGGGTTCCCCTAACCTAGCTCCCCCTGTCTGGCCCCATCACACGTGCCCTGTCCGTCTAACTCTTACATCGCGCTGAACCCTGCCCACACCCCGGCCTCCTCCTCTGGCCTTATGCCACATACTGCTATGCCCTGTTCCTGCTCCCACCCCCTTCCCAGAGCTCCATGGTGCCACTCCCCACGTCGGACCCTGGAGGACATCACTTGGTAGGACATGAACTAGCCCAGGGCGGGGTCTGGACACCGCTCCTGCAAGAATACCCAAGATAACTGGCCTGGGAGAGGCCTCCAAGGAGTAAAATTGAGACGCTGGTGCAGATTTAGGGAGTTGGGGTTAGGGCTTTTAAGACCATGAGAACGGCCATACTGTGTGAGACCAAAGGTCTGTCTAGCCCAGTAGCCTGTCTTCCACCAGAGGCCAATGGTGGGTGCCCCACAGGGAATTAACAGACCAGGTAATCATCAAGGGATCCATCCTCCCGGCTTCTGGCAAACAGGGGGATATGGCTAATAGCCAGTGATGGACCTATCCTCCATGAATTTATCAAGTTCTTTTTTGAACCCTGTTATAGTCCCCACCTGGGCTGTGTAAAGGGATGGCAGGAGAGCAGCAGCCCAGGTGCGGAAAGTGACCTGGTGCCCAGAGCACGTGGTATTGCACCTTGCTCCCCCCCCCCCAGCCTGGCATGCATGAGGCTGCCACAGACTGACACACCTGCCCTTCCCCCGTTGGCTCCTGGGTAGCGGCTGAGGTGGGAACCCCCCCCCATCCATGGCCTGCTCCGGCAACTAGATTCAGCCATAAGACCATTTGGAGCAGCGAGTCCGACCGAGGCCAGAGCTCCTGGCCCGGCGCGTCCTGGTGCAAGCTAGAGCAGAGCGCTTGGAGATGGACATCTGGGGTGGGAAGCTTCCGCGTGAGAGAGACGCCCCCTACAGGTGCAGGGAAGCGTGTCCAGCGGTTAATGACACTCATCCATTAGCTCGATTGAGCTCAGATTTTACATACCTGGGGTCGACCTCGGAGCTCTTTGTGCCTGTCCCCATGTGTCCACAGCCCTGCTGAAGTGCAGCCATCAGGACAGGCCAGGGTAGTGCCAGACGGCTCTCCCCACGGCTGCATTGCGAGGGACCACCCCCGTCCTTGCTCCGCCAGGCTCCCCTCCTTCTCTATTCACCTGCTGTGCCCCGACCGCGCTCTGCACCCGCCTGTGCAATCGTCGGCCACCAGGCACAGCAAAATCTCCGGTTCCTGCGGCCCCCACCCCAAGCCGGCCGTGTGCAAGCCGTTCTGGGACCCTCGCTGGCCGGCCGGCCCGTTTAGCTGCTGGGAATGGATGCAAGCCAAAGCATCGAATATCAGGGCACCGCTGCCCGTGCTCAGAGGGTTTGGCCTGGCTCCTCAAAGGGATTTAGGTGCCTCATTCCCACTGAAATTAATAGTGTGGGGGGGGGATGATGGGATGGCTGTATGTTGGGGTGACACCAATGAGCGGTACGACCTTTAATGCAGAGGGCCGGGGCCCTTACACAACCGTCTGCTTAGACCAAAGGTTAGATTAACCGGTACAGTACAGCCTGAGCTGTGTCTCTGTAATCCCTAGACATTAAAGGCTCACAGTCGGCCACGCTGAGATCCAAACTATTTTAGGACACCTGGTCCCTTATGTGAGATTTTTTGGCTCCCCCGTTCCTGTCCTGCGTCCCGTTCCTCAGCTGTGAAGGACTCGCTTGACTGGCCTGTTTAGTTTAACCTTTCCTTCTGCTCTAAAGCGGCCGGCGGTTGTTTGAGTCGCTTCAGACCGGCCTTAAGAAAAGCGAGAGCCCCAGTGACGTAGCTGGGGCCTCCTGGCTGGGGAATATGACGCAGGCAGGAGGGAGCATGGCCGAGGGGTTAGAGCACGGGCCACCCTAATCTTATTCCTAGCACAGGCCCTGGGCCTGCTGGGGACCCATGAGTGCGTCACATCCCCGCTCCGTGCCTCAGTTTCCCCATCTGTAAAATGGAACTAAGGCTGTGGTTCTGCTTAGCAAAGTGCTTTGAGCTGGACAGATGCAAAGCTCCAGGAATCAATTGTAGATGGAGCCTTTAATTCGTAGGGCACCCGCAAGCCCTAAAAACTCTCAGCGGTGTTAAATAGCAGGGATAAACTGCTGGCCCCGGCCGGCACGTGCCATTTCTGGGGCCCACGACCTACCGCCGGCGGTGGGTCGTGCCAGTCAAGCCCTGGCAGACGAGCTGCTGTTAGAGTTAACTGTATTTCAAAGGCAATAAGATAAATACCAAGGGCAAATTTTCCAGCAAGTCTATTAACCCAGGTGCCACTTCTACCCCCGCCCCCCATAGCTTCCTGCCCCCATCAAACACACATCCCTTTAAATCCCCCACCCCTCAGGACAGGGACTGCCCTGCTCGGAACATGCTGGGGCCAATTAACGCAGCAAGGTCCTCGTCCCGACATGGCCCCGCTCAGTGGGGAGGGATCTTGCCAAACTCTCCCCGCCATGGGCTGGAGGCAGCTTTTAAAAACATCAGTTGTGAGCAAAGGGGGGAGGGGAGGGTTGCAAACCAGAGGGGGGGGGGGGAGGGAAATTCTGCCAGGGAGGCAGGATTGAAATTTGACCCTCCTTCGAATCTTTCTAGTCAAAAACCACCCAGTAAGCCAAGGGCTGGTGCCTCACACACCAGAATTCCAGCATTCAGCCCCTAGCTGGTGGTGGAGCTCGCTCGGCTCTCGAACGGGGCATGCAATCTCGCTGAGCCGCCAGAGTGATGAAGACTCCAGCCCGGCGCTGAGAGACCTCCTCCACTGGGTCACCGCCCATGGTGTTAAAAACCGGCACCCCGTTTTCCAGCCGACTCCGCCCAGCCACGGGATCTCGCTCTGGATTAACAAGGCCCCTCCTATCAGAAATCGCCTCCGGCTCGAGGCGCCTTTCCGCCCAAGCTTTGAATGTTCAAGCCGCTCTTCAGTCTTGAGCCGAGGGGGGAGAAATTCAAGGATTTGGACACGAAAAAGATGCTAACTCGGCACCAGACGCCCACGAGGCTGCGTTAAGAGGGGACGCAGACGACGGCGCTTTCTGCTTTTGTCCTGGGCGTCACGGCACAGTTCCTCGCTGCTCCGTCTGTGGCTACGTCGCCTTCCACCCCCATGCAGGGAGGCGTCGCGCGTCCTGCGGCATTCGGGGATTCCTCCCTGGGCCCGGCTCTGTTCGGAGCAGCTGGGGCCCTTCCAGAGGCCTGAAGGGTGCAGAGCAGGGCTGGCTGTATGGCCATGCAGCGGGGATCGGGAATGACTGGGGGAGGAGAGGATGGAGCTTGGAGTAGCTCAGCCCGCCAGGAGCCCAGATCAGTAGCCGGCCCTGAGTGTCTCTTGGCTAGCCAAGGGGGAGGGCGTGCCCACGCGGTTGGAGAGGGATCGCAGCCTGTAAAAATCTATTGCAAAGAAATAGGGTGCTGCAAAGGGCCCCTCTGCCCAGCCGTCCTGGCCCCCAGAGGTAGTCCCAGACACGGAGAAGCTCCCCACCACGGGGTAGGTGGGTGGGAGAAACCCCCCGTCCTAACAGCAGCCCCCACCTCCGTCGCCGCCCTCCCCCGCGCCGTCCCGGCCCTGCCGCAGGGGGGCGCTCTGGATGCGGGGGTTGGGCTGGCGGCTATCGCTGTGGGGGAGGCCGCTGCCCACCCGGTTCTTGATCTCGGCCGCCATGGTGACGAAGGCCTGCTCCACGTTGGTGGCGGTCTTGGCGCTGGTCTCCAGGAACGGCACCTCCAGCGCGTCTGCGTATTCCTGCCCCGGGGGAGGGAAAACACGAAAGGCCACGGTGAGTGCCGGGCAGATCCCCGCCTCGCCCTGCCAGCTTGGTTATTCACGGAAGCCCTCCCCCGGTGCTTGTGGGCTGGGGTTTAAGTGTGCGACACGTGCACTATTCTGCCCCCCCCCCCCCCCGGTACTGACCTTGGCCGTGGTGAAATCCACCACCTTCTTGCAGGTCAGGTCGTTCTTGTTGCCCACGATCAGCTTGTTGACGTTCTCGCTGGCATAGCGGCCGATCTCCTCCAGCCACAGGTGCATGTTGCTGAACGAGTCCTGGGGGGAGCGGAGACGGGAGAGGCTCTGAGCGACGTCTCCAGGGGCCCAGTGCTTCCCTTCTCCCAGGGCGTTGCCTGCAGTCTAATCCCCATTTACATCTGGGGGCAGGCCCACCAGCCTTCACCTAGTCCATCCCCAGCCAGAGTGAGATTGGCCCATACACGTCAGGAGAACATAGAATCATAGAAGACCAGGGTTGGAAGGGACCTCAGGAGGTATCTAGTCCAACCCCCTGCTCAAAGCAGGACCAA